AAACAAACAAACAAACAAACAAACAAACAAACAAACAAACAAACAAACAAACAAAATGGCCACCAGAAGAATAAAATGCCACCCGCAGCGTTTTCGCGCCCTGTCCTCGCTTACCGAGGCGATGAAAATGGCGGCCGGATGGGGAATCTTTGCTTACCGGTGAGTTTTCGCCCCATAGGAATGCATTAAACGGAGTTTAATGTGTTCCTATGGGGTTTTACATTCTGTATAGCGATGTTTCCAGACAGCGACATTAATCCTGGAACGGATTAACGTCGCTATGCAGGGCACCACTCTATTTTACCATGCGTAAGATACTACTTTTTCCTAAAATCATTACACTAAAAATTGAGTGGTGTCTTTTACACGGAAGTAAGCTGAGAACATGGAGAGACCTAAACAGCCTGTACCTTGCTTCTGTAAACAGGCCTCTTTCAGTCATGAAGCTTAGCTTCCTACAGTCAGGAGACTTTGCTTCCTCCAATCACGAGCCTTATGGAACTGATGTCAGCTGATGCTGAATAAACCAACTGGAACACACTTCTTTGGAGGTGGAGCCTGTAGGTTCAGATTCAACAGGGACTCCTAATGTCCAAGTGTTCTGAGCCCAGAGGCTGAACCCTCAAAGCTAAGTTTTCTTAATTTGGGGGTTAGAAAAGTGGGAGGGGGGTCTTATAAATGTGGGTGTCTTATAAACGGAAAAATACAGTAGTTTGCTGCAGCAACACTAATGCCATTGCTTCATGTTAAACCGGAGGAAAAGACAATTGATACATCTTGACAGTAGTGTTTTAAAAGCAACAATTTTGCCACTAATGCATTACTTTAAAAGCATTTTTTAAGACTTGATGCATTCCTTCCATTTGATATGAAAGCAACTCTTCTAACATTTGTGAATAAAGTTAACATGTTACTTCCAAACTTTGGTTTTGGGAATTAAGCGCATACACCCAATTATATCTTCTGTGTAGAAATAATGTTACTGCATTCTGATTCAATTTATCTGGTCCTACTTTCAAAAAAACAAACAGTTGGAGCAATTTATTATTCTAGACGTGTTATACACAATCTCCAAAGCAGTAATAGCATGTGTTGGACTTCAGTGTACATGCACAGAAATATATACATGTTGTCGAATATTATACTGATTGGCTCTTCATGGGTATGCATACCGCCTCACATTAGACATAGATTTTGCATGCATACCCATCAGCAGAAAGCAAGTATAACAAGTGTATCAAGCAACATCCACAAACTTATGCAAATATGCACACTGAAATCTCACAGACCTTCTATCTCAATGCAGTGCTGGAAAGTTTCCAAGCCAGAGCCAATAACTCTCAACCTAAGACACCATCTCAGGAGCATAGCAACCCATAATAGGTCCTACACAAATTGTGCTCTTCGAGGCATCATAAATGGCAGACACCAGGAAATTAACACACTCGTGCCTACTGTGTGTGGGGACTTAAAAAAATAGTGCAGGGGAAGTTGAAGGGTTTGCCACGCTACCATATACAACATCCAGCTTGCTCAGTTGCTGCTTTGGCAGAGTTACTTTTGCCATGCTAGCAAAGTCAGACACTGGAATTTAAAATGATCACTTGCCTCTTTGGGTAAGATGAAATATACTGTGCTTGGCTGAGAGAAATTAATTCTACTTTGGTTGATGACACTAAGAAGAAATGAAAGAGGAAGCAGAAGAGGAAGAAAAGTCTAAACTAAGAGTCTGAGATCTGGAAACTGCTCAGGCAGTATAAAGAAGGCATATTTGAGACCCTAACTAGCTCTTATCTCTACTGCAGCCTACTGCCAGAGCCACTATTCTAAGCATTCCTGTAACTTTCTTCATTTATTTATTTAAAAAAATTTTACCCTGCCTTTCTCCTATAAAAAGACCCAAGGTGTCTTACATAATTAAACACACAATATTAAAAGTTACAAACAGTAGATTATTCAAATATTAAAGAAGAATTAATAATATAAAAAACTAGGTAAAAACATTACAAAAATCAGGATTAGGAGTGAAAAAACATTAACAACTTTCTTCATTTATTTATTTAAAAAATTTTTACCCTGCCTTTCTCCTATAAAAAGACCCAAGGTGTCTTACATAATTAAACACACAATATTAAAAGTTACAAACAGTAGATTATTCAAATATTAAAGAAGAATTAATAATATAAAAAACTAGGTAAAAACATTACAAAAATCAGGATTAGGAGTGAAAAAACATTAATCATCTTGTTTATTATCTCCTAAACAGCTGGGCATTAAGAGAAAGCCTGTGTGAAGAAAAAGATCTTTATTTTCTTGCAGGACAGCAAAGATGGGGCCAGCCTGGCCTCCCGTGGCAGGGAGTTCCAGAGTCTATGAGCAGCACCAGAGAAGTCCCTCTCTCATGCTGGGATCAAGAGAAAAGCCTTTCTTGTTTATTTTAAAACCCAGGCAGGCTCCTAAATGGAGATGTTGTTTTTGAGATCGCTTGGACCCAAGCTGTTTAGGGCTTTTTAGGTCAAAAACAGCACTTTGAATTGTGCCCGGAACAGAATTTTCAACCATTCCAGACACACTTACAGAGGAACAGACTGGCAGCCTACATTTTCAACCATTCCAGACACACTTACAGATACTTTGCTTCCTTTGTTTGAAGGGAGAATGCCCCAGAACCGTCCTCCTTGCTGACAACTGCATCTCCACTTGACAGGCTAATTGTTTTTGCTACAGGAGAGGCCTTCTCTGTCTGGGGCTGGTCGATGCAGCGTAACCTTAACTCCCGTTCTCGCAGCTGCACAAAGTGTCTAGTGGAAAGAAAGGTGAAAATGGAAGCAGACTCTGCTAAGTATCCACTCTAGCAATGATAGGGCCTTCAATTCAATGAGATGCACATTTCACATCTGTGACAACCTATTTTAAAAACACATGCTTTAAGAAACCACGTCTATTTTTCCATTTCTAACACCCATTTGTGACAAAGGATACCATATTTTTCTGTGTATAAGATGCCCCCATGTATAAGACACCCCCCACTTTTCTAATCCAAAATTAAGAAATCTAAGTGGAGCTTAGCAAGGGTGGTGGGAAGGATCAAAGCGTTGCAGGATCGCTTTGATCCCTGCTTTCCCCTCCACTTGTTTTTGTTCTCTCCTAAGCTTACTTCCGTGTATAAGATGGCCCTCAATTTTTAGTCGAAAGATTTTAGACAAAAGTATAGTCTTATACATGGAAAAATATGGTAATTCCTCCTGGTTTACAAGAATTGTAGCTAAATCCATGGTTCTCAACCAAGAGTACTGGTATAACCACCATGGTACATAAGTAGTTTAGTTGGGTTCAGGGGTTTCATAACATGAAATCAAGAATTTTTTAAATAATATATATATTTGTGCTTTTGCCATAGCAATAAAATAATTCCCAGGAATTGTGCTTTACTGTATCATCTTTTTGTTTTACTTATACCACAACATTAAAAACAATAATCAGCAGTACTATTACAACATTCAGCTACTAACAAAATTAATATTTTCTTTGTTTTGTTTAATCTCTAAAGCTAGACCCCAGCTAAAATAATTATATCCTTCCAACCTGATCGGAAATGATAGATAAAATATCAGAATGCTTGTAAACAAAGAGAGGACTTCTCAGGCAGAAGAAAAATATCCTCTTCATGGTTCCTTCCTCAGTTCTTAGAGGCTGAGGTCCTGCCGTATAGCTTATGCTGTATAAGGCTGGTGACATCACCAGCCACCGTGATTTTTCTGAAGTTATTTTATTTTATTTTAATTATCTACCACCTCTCCCACCATAGGGGGCCCAAGGCGGCTCACAACAATTAGAATTATGCAATAATAACAAGTTTAAAATGTCATACAAAAATATAAATTGAAAAAACAAACATTACTCAGGATTTTTAAAAAATACAATTTTGAAAACATGTTTAAAAAATTTCAATAGGACAATAGGATTTCAGCAGGTATGAGTGAGATATGAAATATGTAAGGTTGAGACCCAGTGTCTTAAGTCAGTGGTCCCCAACCCTGGACCTCCAGATGTTCTTGGACTTCAATTCCCAGAAATCCTGGCCAGCAGAGGTGGTGGTGAAGGTTTCTGGGAATTGTAGTCCAAGAACATCTGGAGGCCCAAGGTTGGGGACCACTGTCCTAAGTAATCCTTCTCTTTGGTAGATAATGACATGGATTCATTTCTTTACAACATTCAATATGATGACTATCCCTTTCCTCCGTGCATCCATCTTACTTATAGACAACAACTGAGTATATCAAACTGAAGGAGAAATGACATTTCACACTGCCGTAATGCTTCCCTTTCTTTGCTGTATGTGTCACAAAACCCCACGGGCTCCTTCTTTTCTGCAAAGCACCAACAGGAGGGGGTCATCATCAGCAAACGAGGTGTACAGAAGAACAGAGTGTTTAAGACTTCCAAGCCACCTTAGTTCCCCCTAAACTTTTCACCCCATCAGTTTCTAGTTTTCCACTGATGTCTTGAAAACATTAGGAAGCCCATGTAGGAGTAAGAGCACCTGCAGGGCAGAGGATCGATTTGGTGTTTCTTCACTTCTATTCGTTTTCTCGCCTTCAAAGTTCGCCTTCCCACAGTCACTTCACACTTGGCTGTTCTCCTTATCCCTACCAGATAACTGATGTCTAATCAGCATTATCCACTTTTTAAAAAAAAATAAAATCTGCTATGTATCATTTATATTCAGCCCACGGATGGACCACAGTTCCAGGGCACAGCACATGCTTTGCAGATGGAGGCATCCAGGTTCACTCCTTGACATCTCCTGCTTACAGGATCTCACCGTTCTTTAGAAGACTCATAAAGGCAGAACTGTTATGGAGGCCTTTGGCAATGTCTGAAGCTAGTTTCTGAGACCCCTACACTACTGTCACTCTTGATTACACAACTGTAGGTAAAAGTAAAGGTTCCCCTAGACAATTTGACCAGTTGTGCCCGACTCTAGGGCATGGTGCTCATCCCCGTTTCCAAGCCATAGAGCCAGCATTTTTCTGTAGACAGTTTCTATGGTCACATGGCCAACGCGACTAGACACAGAACACTGTTACCTTCCCACCGAGGTGGTGCCTATTTATCTACTTGCATTTTTACATGCTTTCGAATGGCTAGGTTGGCAGGAGCTGGGACAAGCAACAGGAGCTGACTCCATCAAGTGGATTTGATGTTCCGACCTTGCAGCACAGAGGCTTCTGCAGTTTAACCCACAGCTCCACCAAGTCCCTTTCTACTGTACATTTTATTTATTAGGTTATGGTTTATGTAACATGGTTTGATTTAAGTTATCAGGTGTGAATCCTAGGTCATCTTTTCAGTTTTAGTTTCTGGTGTCACACATTTTGATTCTTTATTATTTTAGTTGATACTTTGACTAATTATATAAAATACCCCAAGTAGAGTAGTTGTTCTGGGTTTTTCGGGCTCTTTGGCCATGTTCTGAAGGTTGTTCTTCCTGACGTTTCGCCAGTCTCTGTGGCCGGCATCTTCAGAGGACAGCAACCTGTACTCTGGTGTAGTTGGCTTGGGAGTGGAGTATTTATGGCTGTGAGATAGGCTTTTGTCTGTTTTGTTATACTTAACGACTAAACAACAACATTCTGCTCTAAATACAAAACAGGAATCCAAGAAAAAGTATTTTCAGTTAATGCCACAAGGCCTGCTTAGCTTGACACAGAGAGGAAACTCTCCTTTTCTTAACTTGGCTCTGTCTACGGCTACCTTCCAGAAGGAAACCAACAGGGAATTAAAGACCTTTCGAACCTGCTGAACCCCTGGAGATTCTCACCACTTGGAGAATCTGGACGTCGTCGTCGTTTAGTTGTTTAGACGTGTCCGACTCTTCTCTTCGTGCCCCCATGGACCAGAGCACGCCAGGCCCTCCTATCTTCCACTGCTTCCCGTAGTTGTGTCAATTTCATGTTGGTTGCTTGGCAGACACTGTCCAGCCATCTCATCCTCGGTTGTCCCCTTCTCCTCTTGCCCTCACACTTTCCTAACATCAAGGGCTTTTCCAAGGAGTCTTCTTTTCCCATGAGATGGCCAAAGTACTGGAGCCTCAGCTTCAGGATCTGTCCTTCCAGCAAGCACTCAGGGTTGATTTCTTTTAGAATTGATAGGTTTGTTCTCCTTGCAGTCCAGGGGATTCTCAAGAGCCTCCTCCAACACCACAATACAAAGGCATCAATTCTTTGGTGGTCTGCTTTCTTTATGGCCCAGCTCTCACTTCCATACATCATGACAGGAAAAACCATAGCTTTGACTATTCGGACTTTTGTTGGCAAGGTAATGTCTCTGCTTTTTAAGATGCTGTCAAGGTTTGTCATCGCTTTCCTCCCAAGAAGCAGGCGTCTTTTAATTTCGGGGCTGCTGTCTCCATCTGCAGTGATAATGGAGCCCAAGAAAGTAAAATCTGTCACTGCCTCCATATCTTCCCCTTCTATTTCCCAGGAGGTAATGGGACCAGTGGCCATGATCTTAGTTTTTTTGATGTTGAGCTTCAGGCCGTTTTTTGCACTCTCCTCTTTCACCCTCATTACAAGGTTCTTTAATTCCTCCTCACTTTCTGCCATCAGAGTGGTATCATCTGCATATCGGA